CCCCCCCCCCAATGTTTTGTGCAAAAATTTAGTGTTTGGGGACAAAATTCAGATTTGGTCTCTGAAACTGAATATTTTTGGGGGAAATTCAAAGCTTCCACTCCTATAAAACAGGAACTAAATAGAGTGGTGATTCAGCTCTCACTGAAGCCAGTGCCAAAATTTCCTTTGATTTAATCAGAATCAAGCCCCCTGGGATCATTTTCACTTGAAAAACTGGACTGGTACTATTAAGTGGAGAAACCACAGTGTTTTTGCAGGGTTTTTTAAAAATGAAATTGGCTCAATTTCACAAAACTGGAATGAAACATGAAACCTTTTTCTGTTTCAACGTTTTAAAATGTTTTTGGAACATCTGGCACAGCTGTTTGTCCTAGCCCCTTCCCTCACCCCCCAAGGCAGGAGTACAGTCCTGGGTCTGATTCTATCCCAATGGGAGCCAATATCAATAGCAACAAGTTTGGGCTACAAGGGCCCTGGCGTTTCAGCTGCCCCTGTATAGAGCGTCCTGTGCCCAGAGAAGCTCCATTTTTAAGCTTTAAGCTTCTTTCACTCAACAAGCCCATCTCCTTCACTAAACTATCTCCCTTCCTCTTGTATTTAGGACAAGGAACAAGGATAAGATGGTGAAAAGTGACTTGGGAGATTTGCATTCTAGCCTGTCTTGCCAGAAACACACTCTCTCATCAGAGACCCATCACTTGTCACATGGTCTTTAAAAAAATAACGCCTGGTACAAAACCTGCTTGTTTCATTTAAGAGAGACTTGCTTCAGTTTTTACTTTAATAGATTCCTTGATGATTGCAGGCTAAGCCGAAATAAGAAGCCATTTTTAGATGCATGCTCTTTTAAAGCAGAGTTGTGCATTGCGTTAACTAAGTCAGCTGTTAAAACTGGTTTGAAGTTAAATGAGTGCAGTTTTCCCAGGTGCAAATCTTATTCATCTCTCTGCCTCAGTTCTATCTCCTTTATAAAACAGAGATGACAATATTTGCCCCACAGCACATCGTGTGAGTTATTCAGATATTAAAGCAGTGTACCTGTATCATGTACCCACATCCTTGTCCAGTATACTTCTTCTGAAATGTCAGTACTATTTTACCTATATGCCTTCCCTTTTCAGGCTTCATTCCAGCCTTGTGTGCAAGATCTAGCACTTCTGTTGTGCATGCATAGGCTTCCTTTTAAGACCATAGGCTGACAGGGTTGTACGAATGGATTCTGGTACAAACCTGAATCAGGCTTCTGATGCTCCTTCAGTTGCCACAAGAATACGTTTCCCCCTTGCGTCATGGATTTGGCAGGCCTAAAACTGAAAAAAAGAAAGCAAACTTAAACAAGTTTTCCCTAGCTTGTTCCCACTCTTTTCCAAAATCTCTGTTATGAAGCACTACACATGAATATACAGTTTATTCAAATTAAGTTAGAGATGTTGTTTCTTTTTCAAGTGTATGTGCGAGAGACTGTAAGCGTGCCTCATGCATGCACCCTGGTTATGCATGGGTGTGTATGAGGACTCTATACCTGACTGCTCTTTTGGTGTCAGGGCTGTATTACACTGCCTGTGCAGTTCATGTGCATAACATGTATGCGGAGCGAGCGGACTGTACAAGATAGAAGCGTATGCTTTGGAAACACGTATGACTGGACTACATGTGCACACTTGTGCATGATGCATGCGTGTTTGGGGGTGGTGTTTGCATGCATGTGGCTGATGGACACCATTTATTCCATGTCTGTGTGCAGCATGTACACCAAACTCAGACTGGATGTAAAACATGAATATGCTTTTGTCTTTATCTTTTATCATATTATTTAAGTGGTAAAATTAGCTATTCTTTCCTGCACTCGTGCCTAAATAGAGGAATAGGTTATTAATAAAAAGGCAGGGGATCTTACAGTTGTGGTGGCAATTTCCTTGAGGTCTATTAATCATAGGAAGCTTCCTCCC